AGCAACTTTCATGCGAGGGAATTGGTCTTTGCCAAAGTAAATTTCTTCTTTTGTTAAAAATAGATTATTTCTATGGTGTGCCTAAGGAGGAGGTGTCTGGACGTACAAAAATGTTTATAACTCAGAAACTGTTCAACATAGGAGCTTCAGATTTCTTTTTTTGTTTAGCTCTGATGTATGGAAGCATTTAAGTGACAAAATGCATTTCTGCTAATGCATTATAATTTTCCGATTTGACTTTTCAAAATGAATTTTGGTCGCTTTTTACCAGGACATGTTTTGAAAATTAAATGTCAAAGTTTGTTTTATTGAACATTTTAATTAATTTACACTTTGAGCAGTCTTGAAGATGAAAATGGAAGCAAAGTTTGGTGTTGAATTTGATGTTGACCAAGGTGTGGGAACCCTGATTAAAGCATTCAATATTTAAGGAACTACTGTTTTTCAATGTTAGCTCTAGCTGCAAAACTTTAGGGGTAAATCTAAATTTGCACATAATTTTTTTTGAGAAAAACAAAAAATTACATCCTCATCTCATTTGTTAAAACTGAATGTAGATTTCAGACCACGTTAAAAATCCCTCTCGTACACTATTTTTCAGGGTGTGCTGACACACACTGACAAATTCCAGACAACCAAAAGGGTGAGAAACACTTTGGCTTTTGACATCACTAGTGCAAATCAGGAGCGAAGCACAGACAGAAGTGGATAGAAGAGATGGATGAATGGAGTTAGGAGAAAGGAGGATGGAATTAGACAGGAAATGAAAGGCTTTCTCCGGTTTCACTCCCTGTGACCTCATCAGTGTGATCATGGATTTTACGAGCTTTCCTTCTCAACGCCCACGCTCCACCTCACACGTGCCAGGACACACACGCACACACACTTCTGCTCCAGTAGTTTATTTTCTGGCATGGAGAAACACACAGTACATGTGTTTTTTGTATTTTTTCCCCCTTTTCTTTTTCTCACACTCTTTGTCAACTTCTCACAGAGTTTTTTCACACAATAAGATGTTACATGCAATGCTGAAAAATGTCCTTTTTTTATTGATTGCGTGAATTTATTCAAGGAGCTCCTGCGGTAAAGAACACACCACAACACAGAAATTCCTTACTGAAGCAGATGGGACTTTTTTGTATTACATCAAAGACAGCACCACAAGTAAATCTGGGAGTCTGGGAATGACATCACATCCAACTCACAAAACAAACTGGTGGCAATATAAGTCACTGCATTTTATGCTTGAGTTGAGTTTTGGAGACAGTTCAGGATTCTATTTGAAGAAAAGTGTTTTAATTTTTTTATTATGTTGCAACATGAGCAAACTAAAGTTATCCCAGTGTCTCTCCTAACAAAAATGCTATACCTCTAAAATTTGAACTGCACTCATTAGTATCATTAATGCATCAAATCATTATAGCAGCCACAGCCCATCTGCTACTGTATGTAGGATCCAGTAACATCTCCAGCTTATGTAGACCCCAAAGGGCAAACGCAGGGTTAGCTGGATTTGGTAGTTGTTTGTTTAGCTGTGTGTTTCAGTATACCATTAATGCTAGGACCTAATAGGGCTGTCAGTGGCAGGAACACATGGAAGCAATTTTCTTGACATAGATTACACATGGACTTGGACTATCAAAGAAGTTCCTCCTCAGCATGGATTAAACCTGGAGTTAAAGGGTTTTGGGAGTGTGCACCTGTTAGATAAAACTGCTGACACCTTTTAGCCAAAGCAGTGTTTATGATTTCCTTGCAGTTATATTGTAGAATCATTTGTATA